AATGTGAATTAATCAAATCAGGGTAACTGGGATATCCATCACCTCAAGCATTTATCATTTCTTTCTGTTAGGAACTTTCCAACTCTACTCTTGTAGTTATTTTAAAGTATACCCTAACTTATTGTTGATTGTACTCACTTTGTTGTGCTATCAAATATTGTTCATTCTATCTAAATACCTAACTGTATTTTTGTACCCATTAACCATCCCTACTTTATCCCTCCCCTCCCTGCTATCCTTCCCAGCCTCTGGTAACCATCATTCTACTCTCTGTCTCCATGAGATCAATTGTTTTTAATATTTAGCTCCCACATAAGAGTGAGAACATGCGAGATTTGTCTTTCTGTGCTTGCCTTATTTCACATGACATAATGTTCTCCAGTTCCATCCATGTTGTTTGAAAAGGATTTCATTCCTTTTATGGCTATATAATATTCCATTGTGTATATGTACCACAATTTCTTTATCCATTCATCCATTGATGGACACTTAGGTTGATTCCAAATCTTGGCTATTGTGAATACTGCTGCAGTAAACATGAGCGTGCAGATATCTTTTCAATATACTGAATTCCCTTCTTTTGAATATATACCCAGCAGTGGGATTGCTGGGTCATATGGTAGTTCTATTTTTAGTTTTTTGAGGAAGCTCCGTACTGTTTTCCATAGAGGTTGCACTAATCTCCATTCCCACCAACAGTGTACAAGGCTTCCCCTTTCTCCACATCCTCACTGGTATTTGTTATTGCCTTTTTGATAAAAGCCATGTTAACTGGGGTGAGATGATATCTCATTGTAGTTTTGATTTGCATTTCTCCAATGACTAATGATATTGAGCATTTTTTAAAATATGCCTGTTGGCCATTCATATGTCTTCTTTTGAGAAATGTTTATTCAGATCCTATGCCCGTTTTTTAATTGGATTATTTGATTTTTTCCTGTTGAGTTGTTAGAATTCCTTATATATTCCAGTTATTAATCCCTTGTCAGATGGGTAGTTTGCAAATATTTTCTCCCATTCTGTGGGTTGTCTCTTCACATTGTTGATGTGTCCTTTGCTGTGCACAAGCTTTTAGCTTGATGTGGTCCCATTGTCCAATTTTGCTTTGGTTGCCTGTGCTTTCGGGGTATCACTCAAGAAGTCCTTGCTCAGACCAATGTCGAAAACAGGAACTTTGCCTTTTGAATGTCATAATTAGTGGTGAGGACAATATAAACAGAGTGAATACTGTCTCGATACTACTTTTTTAACGTAGAAGGATAATGTTTAGGAAATTCTTTAAGCGGTTTGGTTTCTCAGGCTTTGTAACAAACATACTTAGCTGACTTATTTCGTCTTGACATATAGCCACAATAAAATGAAGAATTCATATATTCTAAGTAAAAGTTTTTTTAAAGAGTGTAGACTTATTATTAACTGCAGAACAAATATATGTTGCTAAACATACATTATTATTATCATCTTTGTAAAGCTAACATTCAGCTGTATGTTTTGAAATATTGAGAGTATCCATTATATGAAAAGAACTCTGTGAAAACATTTATACTCTCTCATTGGTTTGGTAATCCAATTAAATTTTT